TTTCTACAAATCGGAATGACCTGAAATTAGGAGCGTGTGTACATCTTAGTGAGACACCCCTAATAAAAATACAAAAAAAATAATTTGCGAAAAATAAATTGACCAAAATACCCCGAAACTTTATGGGGATATTTTGGTCAATTTTGTCATGTAAAATATTTTTTTGATATTTTTTATAGATTTGCCTATTTTTTATGAACACCCTTTCCAAATTTCAAGTCATTCTGATTTGTAGAAAAAAAAAAAATGAAAAATGAAACACTACCGGACAATCGTGACCATGCGATGAACTTTGGACGGCGATGAGGGTAAGCGAAATCACTGCTCATTTTCGCCTATAGGCATTTTGTAGTATCTTCCATATATATATTTATTAATTTACATGCAGATTATCGCAGATTGTTGGAATAAGGCTCGGATGATGATGATGATGATATTTGAATTGTTGATTTCAACTCGGAAGTCCAAAGCAAATCCCGATCTGGATCAATGATTTTTTATCCGGATTGGTGATTTTTTAATCACTTGTTCCATTTGATGCTCTATAATGCTGGAAACAATTGGTGTTTGAGGTAACGAAAACATCTTATCATTATTGACTATTTGACTGATATCTTTAGACTCCTTGACCTAGCATTATGTATGAGGTTTCCTGCCTCACTATGGGATTCTGTTCTTGAAATTTTAGTCCATAGACACAAGTACCTTGTCAGACCCAAACCCAAGACCACACCAATCAATTAGACTGTAGGAATTTCCCATGTTGTGTAGGCTTTGAAACAATTTCACTTTGCTTATGTCTCATCAATAATGCAACAAATGTCACCATCCTTGGTGTAATAGAGCTACAGAATAAAACTGAATCTTCTTCTTGATCCTTACTGATGCCACAGTATCATCAGAGGTCTAGTCTCTAACATTTTGATTGGTTATCTATCGGTCTCCTTGTTCACCAAAATTGTGTTTAAATGATGGATTTATGTGGATCAATATCCTTTTAAACATGGTAATAGAGCAAAAACGGAACTGTAGATTGAGGTGGACAAGTATTTTTAAAGTGAGGCAATGAGTCTAAAGTTTCACAAGTGCTTATAAAAGCATCGAGATATCAGTTGGACTGTTGGACGCAGGGATGGCTATTTCCATTTAGTGAATGAGGAATACATGTGTCATCCTAGAAATTCTGGAAGATGATTATGAATTTTATGACAGTGAACAGTTCTTTGCGGTAGTGTGGGAGGGGAGACAAGGAGGGAGATTCTATCAATGATGCATGTGAAAGTGGGTAAGGAGGTTTGCGACACTAAGTGAGGTGGACTCGAAATTTCTTGGAAGATCAAGTGAAGCTTTGCTTTTGGGATAACATATTCTGTTATTGGCAATGGAAGGGGTTTCAAGTTTAGGCTAGATCGAGAATCTATGGGGACTTCATTTCTCTAGTTGTGGTCCTTGTGATGAGAAAGATTTTGAATGATGAGAAGGTTGTTTTCTACCCCTTTCTGAAGAGATCTTAATGTGGATGACATGCAGGAACCAATCAACTTGTTGAGTGTGCTCAATAGTATTGGCATTATGAAAATGGTATGGGGGAGTGGTGTAGGCAAAGGTGCCATCTTGATTTTTCTTGTTTCTGGAAGATATATGTTGAGTGAGGTTGAAGGGGAGGCCCTTCAGGAGCAGAAGGTAAAAAATTTCAACTTCAGAGTACGATTTATTGTGGTTTGCATAAACAAAATTTCCCAAATTTCCATGTCTCAAATTCTGTAATTGTCCATTTGTAATATGTGTTCCTTGTACTACAATGAGGGATGGTATGTGGACTACATGGTGCCTTTAGTTTTCCCTCTTTTCATTGATTTATGCTTGATTCCTAGCATTATTTGAAGCGAGATTGGGCTTACATGCAATGAAACCAAAGTTGATTGATTGTTTAGTAGACTTGCGCCTTGGTACCTGGAAGCAAATTGGGATTGGGAATGAGTTGCTAGAAGATCCACGTGGATGATATTGAGGAGTTTGATTTTGTCAAATGGAGTGAAGGGGGTTGATTTCGAAGGCTCCGTTGGATGCAACTAAGGATTTGATGTCTAAAACTGGAATTTGGGTGGCAGACTTCCTATCTTCTTGACATCTTGGAGGTCAATATTTTGATGATTTCCTTAAAGAAATTCAAGACATGCTGGATTGGTGGCTAGAGATGATTGGAAGGTGAGGGGCGGTATTGAATGGTTTTGTAAGGCGCTTTTGTTAATGCCTCCTCCTAATTTTTGTGACCAATACATAGAATATTGTGTCCAAGACTCGTAGTTTAGTGTGGAGGTAGAGTTTAAGATTGTGTCCAATACAATATTGAATAGCGTGGCGTCCCCACTGATTGATGACAGATGAAGGTCCATCTGTCATAGATATGCAAGTTTGTGGGAAAATGTATTTGCTAATTAATTTTTATGTTTGTGTGATTCACGATCGAAGCTCTTTTTTTAAAAAAAAATTGTGAGCATGCTATAGTTTCTCAATTTTGCATTTCCTTTTCATACTAATGCAGAAGATTTTTTTTTTTATTATTAATTTTTGAGTTTATCTTTTAATTTCAGGAATAGGAGGTGCGCAGGGATAATTAGGTGGGCATGAGTTTATTTTGTACGTGAATTGATATTAATCAATTGGGTTGGTTAGTTTCTATGAAAGAGGAATGTAAATAGGATAAGGTTAAATCTAAAGGGGGTTTATCTTTTCAACAATAGACAACGTTTTGCCCTGAGGGGGAGGCTTTGGGTAAATGTGGTTTATCTATTCAGGTTAAGAGAGAGAAAATAGGCATGAGAGAAAATAGGTTAAGAGAGAGAAAATAGGGAGGAGAGATAAAATATGAAAGTCCGTGTAGAGAGAGATTTTTTGTTTAGTTATTATTTATCTTCTTTTTTTTAGTCTATTTAAAGGGAGATCTCCCTTCATTGTAAAACAATGAATGAGTTCAATAAAATTTGGTCTTGTGAAGAGATTATTTTTGGGGTGGATTCCCTTGCAGACCTTAATAGAAGGTATATTCTCTCGACCTTTTCTTCTTTTTTTTGTTATTTTGTTTTCTGGTTTTATTTTCTCCTTGCATCAATTGGTATTTGAAGAATAGATCTAACAGAGAGTAAGTAAGAGCTAGAGATCTGGTTTGTTTTACAATGCCACCAAAAGCTAATCAAGTTAATCCTGCTCCTGCTAATCAAGCTAATCTTGCTCCTGCTATGGATGATCGTTGGTGACAAGCTATAGAAAATTTGACTAAAGCCCTAGTGGATGTTCGAACTGAAGTATGTGAGATGAAACAGGGGATGCAACGGTTGGATCAGAGGCTGCGGCAGTTGGAGAACAATATTCATCGTGAAGAAGGTGCTCGCAGCCACATTCATCTTGCACCAGTAATTCCAAAACCCAGGATGTTAATTTCAAGCTTAACGAAGAAATTTACAGGCCAAATCCGTGTCCTATAGAGCGATCACAAGATTTTGATATTAAAATCGATCTCCTAAAATTTTATGGTCAAAGGTGTTCATTGATTGCATATGGTGCGCCTTTGGAGCTGGATCCATTCCTAGTCAGGAATAATCATAATAAGCCCAAGCTTGTATTCAACAATTACTCTTGGAACACAGTCGCATGCAAAGAGTCTTACATTAGTCTTGAAGAAATTGAATAAAAGGTGTCGAGGAGCATGGTAGGATTACATCACTAATTAGCAGATGGTGATTGGCTTCAAGCTCGAGGTCTAGCTTCTTAACCTCGGGAGGATTGGCTTCAAGCTTGAGGTCGAGCTTCCCAACCCCGGGAGAATTGGCTTCAAGCTCGAGGTTGAGCTTCCCAACCTCGGGAGAATTGGCTTCAAGCTCGAGGTCAAGCTTCTCCCAACCCCAGGAGCATTGGCTTCAAGCTCGAGGTCGAGCGTCTCCCAACCTCGGGAGAATGATGCAGAAGAAATTTATTATTATTATTATTATTAATTTTTGAGTTTATCTTTTAATTTCAGGAATAGGAGGTGTGCAGGGATAATTAGGTGGGCATGAGTTTATTTTGTGCATGAATCGATATTGATCAATTGGGTTGGTTAGTTTTTAAGAAAGAAGAATGTAAATAGGATAAGGTTAAATCTAAAAAAGGTTTATCTTTTCAACAATAGGCAACGTTTTCCTTGAAGGGGAGGCTTTGGGTAAACGTGGGTTATCTATTGAGGTTAAGAGAGAGAAAATAGGGGTGAGAGAAAATAGGTTAAGAGAGAGAAAATAGTAGAGAGATAAACTATGAAAGTCCGTGTAGAGAGGGATTTTGTGTTTAGTCATTGTTTATCTTCTTTTTTTTTAGTCAATTTAAAGGGAGATCTCCCTTCATTGTAAAATAGTGAATGAGTTCAATAAAATTTGGTCTCCGTGAAGCGATTATTTTTGGGGTGAATTCCCACTCAGACCTTGATAGAGAGTATATTCTCTCAACCTTTTTGTTTTTGTTACTTTTTTCTGGTTTTATTTTCTTCCTGAATCACATACCCTGTTGATTGTTTTTCCTTGTGAGATTGAGAGTTATAACAAATGAACTGTCTCACTTCTAACTAATAAGTACACTGTATACTGAGCTACTTGTAAGGCATTTTCATGATAACTGGATACCTTTTCAAACTCTTTTAAATAAAACTTATATTTTACTTTTCTAATATCTCATGATCCTTGGAACTTTTCTAATATCTCATGATCCTTGGAAATCTAACTTACTACTCATATTTTGATGTTCTAATGAAGGTCCTATGTGAGGAATTAACCAGACGAGCTGCCAATCTGGCATTGGACAACGAGAGTATGAAACGAGTATGTACATGCCTAGAGTGAAGTTAATGTGATCGCAATTTCAATTTTCACAGAAGAAAAAAAATACAGAAGAAAGAAAAAAAAGAAAAAAAGAAGAAGAGAAAAGTGGTTGCAACTTCTCTTGGGAAGGTATATTATAGTCAAATGGACTATCGTATACAGTACACCAAAGGTCATCCACTGTCTGTTCCTCTAGTTGGACGGTGGAGATTCGCAGTAGTGGGCCTTAGTGAGGCCCACAAGGACATTCGAGCCAGTACAGCTAATCACCACAGTCGGTCACTGGAAAGGATGGCAGATGCACCTTCAGAGTACCACATACCGTACTCCATTGGATTATATTACACTTTTCTACTTCTATGTCCGGCATATCAAGTTATTTTCCTCTTCAGCAGATGAACTAATTAACATAATTACCCCAAAACAATAACTTAGTAATTATTTCATTTCGATGATGAACATGAGCAGGAAATGGACTTGGCGATGCAAGAGTTCCTGTCACTGAAGGAGACAAATCAACATCTGAAGGAAAGGGTAATGCTCTATCTACTCAGTTTTTTCTAATATTTAGAAATTGATCCACACTATATTTCTTCCCATCACACTAATAAAACTAAATTAGTTATTTCATTCTTTCCAATTCATTATACTCTCAAGGGAAACAATTTCAAAGCACCATTCCTAATCGCAGGTTGCAAAGATGTTCCAAGATGAAGAAAAGCAAGCTCCAGATGAAGACCCTCCCCCTGAAACCGAGAAGCCAGCTTCTTCTCCAGTGCAAGCCCCTCTGGTATTCTACAATGGGATACACTTCACCCCAATCGCTTGGCCACCCATTTTGCAGCCCTTAAGCACAACTCAAACACCACCTGTTTCTCTTTCTAATGACGAAGACGATCACCTACATGCGGCCTCCAGAATACACACATCTCAAGGGTGGGGAGGAAATTTCAGGGGAAGCAGTGGACCCAGTGCTTTTTATGTGCTACCATGTCCATGGCTTTTCTCTCTCTATGAACAGGGGCCTATACCCTGCCCATGTGACGCACCTGCTTTGAGAGAAGATGGCTCCTTGAGATTATGTCAGTATGATATAGAGTCATCTAGAAAGCCAATAATAACTTCATCAAGCTGCTCAGTTGAGAACCAATTCGATTCAAAAGCTCCAAAAATTAGAGAGAAAACAGCTAGGAGTGTTGGAGAGAGCCAACCTCTCTTGCCTAGAGAGAGATCAGATCGAGTTGTGGGGCACCCTTCGGAAGAACTGGGTCTTGTGCCAACTATGAATACCTCCATTTTCACTATAAATCGACAAAGTCTCTGGGCTCAAGATGCGAAAGATACTAATCCAAATGACAATGTTACCGTTATGGCTGCGCATTCAGCAGAGCTCAGCCCTGAGTTCTCACCGAGTCCTTGCTTGTGTCAAAGTAAGAGATCATCAGATGCAGCTGCTGCTACTGAAGCTAGAAAGAGAAGGAAAGAGTTGACAAAGCTAAAAAACCTGCATTATAGGCAATTAAGTCGACTGCAATGGTGATTGAGATGGCCAAGGTTTGCTGACCTACTAAAAACCAAGGAAATTGTGATGCAGATGCTTTAATGGAAAAAGAGGAGTCCCGAATCAAGCGGCGTGTATTAATCCACAGCATGTTGAGGTTTTAACATTGATTCCCTGATCCCTGTTGGATTTTTCTGGGTATTTAAGTGTATTGTAACTGTAAAATCATGGAGAGAAACCTCGTGCTGAGGGGTTACGAATAGTTTGTGGTCTAAGGAGCCCTTGAGTGAGAGGGACATAAGCTTCTTGGAGAAAATCTGAGCTGTATTTTGTAAAAGTAAATTTCACGATGTTATAAATTCTCTTCTTCACCATGGGAAGAGAGAAATGTTCCCCTTTGTATACATCTAGTTGTTCAGAGTCTTGTTTTTCTCTCTTTTTTTGGAAAAAAGATATAAACCTCCCTCTCTAAAATTAGAATCCCCTGGTCCCATAGAACTCCGAAGTTAATAAAAAAAGTATGTTTAACCTTCTCCGTACTTTTTTTCATTATTCAAAGTATAGAATTTACCTTTCTTTTGTTTCTTAACCACCATGTCATTTAAATTTTAGAAAAGCTCTCATTCTCTTTCCTTTTTTTTTTTCACCCGTCGACCTCTTCCTCCTCTCTCTAGCAACCTTCTTTGAATACTTCTCTAAGCTCGTGAGCCTCACAAGTAAGTTAAAAGAGGCATCACAAACTTGATTTTTATGATGACGTTATTAGAAAAAAGAAGGTTATTTTGGATATTGAAAATGTAAGGAGTTGGTTAAACGTGATGTTGTGTGCTGTGAGGAAGTACTTTTGATTTCTTACTCCAAATATCTAAAGAACCTGATACATTGCCAAGACAGGTAAAATCCAATTTAAATAGGCTAAAAATGTTTTTAAGTACTCCTTCACTACCAAAAAACACATTGGAAAGTAAAATGGAGGGGTGTTTTGTAAGGCCGTGGTCTGTACAGTTTGACACCCAAATCTTTATGGGAAAACCTAGTACACTTGAACGAACAAGAAATTAAAAAAGAAAAAAGGAGTTTAAGCCTTAAAATTGGTGTATAATGATTTTTTAGACCATCCCCTTTGAGTGTTCACAAACTCTTAAATCAGTATTATTTTGGATCTCCAAATTCTATCGTTAGAATAGCAGTGGATACGCAAATCTTCACATTGCTACCCCGGGTCCGAGGTGAGTTGTTCGGGTCTTCATGATTCGGCTGCATACATCTGGGGCATTACCAAGATGTCATCCTGTGAAGGAGAGTGGTATGATAGGGCTGCAGCCCTATCATAATAAGTAATGCCTCACTTTGTATTTCATCGGAAATTATAATTCAAAAATTGAAAAACCTTTGCATTTATCATCTTGGCTTAAACCTTAACCTTATGGTTGTGAAAAAATATAAGGATTTCAAGCTCTAAAACTAATGTATATTACAATAAATTATCTAGACCGTTCATTTCGTCCTAAAAGTAAGTGCTCACATATCCACAAGATCTGTATTATTTTTTGAAATCTAATTTTTATTGTAGGTATTGGAAATTGATTTTAGAGCTATCATGGGGATTTGTGTTGCGTGCTTTCCAAACGTCGATTTGAGATGAAACATGGCCTTATTATTTAAGAAATTGCCCCTTTAAAAAAGTTTATAATGATTAATAATAATGTTTTTTTCCTTGAGAATTATCTATCTCAAAAATCTGATGTGCCCCACAAACCACATGTATCAAACAAGTATATGTGAGGTTATTTTCAAGTAGGACCCTACATTATCTTTTTTTTACGTCAAAGAAGCTTGAATATAACCCTAGAAAAGGTTGTGGTGTTACTTCGATACCCTAACCAGCCATCCATGCGGCCAAACCCTAGAAAATTAGAGCACCAAAGTGGTAGTCAAGACCTAAATTCAACATAGTATATACAAACATGTCTCCATCCAATTAATAATGCATTCCATTAGCGCACAAGAAACAAAGGATATTTGCACTGGGGGTGCATTATTTCATTTACAACTTCATGCACGTAGGCTTTCTAAGTGCCATGATTTAAAAATCAATGATAAAGAATACAAGATATAAAGAAAAACAAAATATAAGTTAACTCTTCATCATCACAGTCTCTTCTTAATTAATTGGCTACACATACTCTGGCCTGTTATTTTGCTCTTTTAAAAGCCATACTCTTAATGAGGCCCATAAGTTCATATATCTTTTTGGACGCACTAAATGTAATTCAACTAACAGTTTAATTTTCTTAAGGTTATTGCTTTTTTATACTTAAAGCAGCACCGTAAAAGGAAAAGTAGTTTTAGTTCTGGAAACCTTTACAACGGCACTCATATCTATTTCTGTCTCTGACTATCAATTTGCATATCATTCATCATCCAAACTACATCTCCAACAGAAATCCGGCATGCCTCTGACTATCAATTTGCATATCATTCATCATCCAAACTACATCTCCAACAGAAATCCGGCATGCCACTCGTAGAGCTGCAGCCCTACAAAATACTCTAGCACTTTTGTGGGTGCCTCTATTCCTCCTATAGTCCCCAGTTTGAGTTACTCATTCGTGACAACCATAATATTACAATATTAAATTTGGCCTCTATGCCCTCCCTCCTACAGTCCCCAGTTTGAGTTACTCATTCGTGACAACCATAATACTACAATATTAAATTTGAACATGAATAAGATGCCTAAATTACTGGAAACTTATATGGTGATAATTAAAAGACAAGCATATGGTTAAAGCATTTGATGCAACAATGGTTAGAACCAGTGTTATCTAATGTTGGTGTTGTGCTATGAGGGTCTTGTTGGCTGCTATTATGAGGAGTATTAGAAGGACAGAAAGGGTGATAATGGATATTGCTGATTTGAGTCCAATAGTTTTGCTTCAGTTGCTTAATGGACTTCAGTTCATAAACTGGGGTAACAGAACTAGTGTTGAGTAATTTCTAAGGATTTGCAAATTTGAATGCTATTACTCAAATGAGGAGAGGGGGAAGGAGAAGTTTTGTTAATTTAGTTGAGCCCGGGAGGAGTGGGTCAAGTTTTTGCTGCAAGATTTAAGGTTGCCATCTTCTTGGGCCTAAAATTGTCGAGGGGGTTAATATAAATTAGAGTACATGAGAGTTGGGCTTAGTGAAGGTTGTTAATGCTTTTCAATGAAATCCAAGCTATTATTTTATTTTTTTTGGGTAATTAGGAAGATAGGTCTCTACCCATTTTTTAAATAATTTAGGAGTTAGCGTTTCGAAGGTGTTAGTGGGGTGGTATCAGTAGGAATAAAAACCACAACGTGGTGATTATAGTGAATGGGTATTAACACCACGACCTCAGTCCTTTTTTCGAAATCCAAGTTGTTATTACTGAAGAAAGGATTCAAGTTTCTATATTTGATGTACATTAATTGGTATTAATTTATTTATATTACCATTCAAAAAAAAAAAAACAAAACAAAAAAAGCATATCGTAATCACATAAAAAAAACAAGCATATGACTGACCAAAGTTTTGATCATTATATTCTATCCCTAGCCATTGGTATCTATGGGTGCAAGTATAAAATTTAGAGGCTAGAATATGCTCCCAAACTTTTTAAAAAAGGTTAAAGGGATTGTCTACAAAAATGCCATTTTTTTTTTGTACATAGAGGTTACAATCATTCTCGAGGTCACAATAATTCTCGTTCATTAGATGTCAAATTGGATAGCTTGGAGTGAGTCACGAAATTCGAGAATTCTATAAATAAGATTATTGTCTTGAACCTTTTGCTTAATAATCGGTGTAATCAAATCTACACTATCTAACTAAAGTAAACTCTACAATTATGGTCTTGAACCTTTTGCTTATTTGAATGAGATAAAAAAATAGAACGATAATGTTGGGGAAATAAAAGCCGCAATCACCTCTACCAGTGATCTTGCGGCGTCACTAATGATCACCCTTAAAGTCCAATTAATTTTTAGAATTGTCTATAAAGAGACCATTTATCCTTTTGTAAATGGAGGTTGCAATCATTTTATCCCTTAAATTTCAAAATTTCAAAATGAGTGGTTGTAATATTATCATTGAATAGACGCAAACCTCCAAAAAAAATCTCCATGTACAAAAGATAAATAGTCTTTTTATAGACAATCCCTTATTTTAAAATAATATTAAATTACACTCTAACTAAAATAGTCGGTGTATTAATTATAATCATAGTTCTACAAATAAGATTATTGCCTTATATAAATTGCATTGGGGAGAACTACTACAAAATGTAAAGAAGTACAATTAGTACAAGGTGTGAGCCCTAAAACTATCAAAGTAAGGTGCATATCTAAATTTGCTAAAATATGAGGATTTGCGATGGCCTAAAAATATATTTTATTAATTTCAAGTTCTAAAAATAATGTTGATCAACCAGATCTATAAATAATTGAAAATTTTGAAAATGTGCTACAAAATGCAATAAAGGTAAACCTGGACAAGCCAACTTGGACACATCCGGGTAACTGGACTTTCTTTCATGGTAAGTCCAAGAATCCCCAAATTGGGTGGTTCGGATCAAGGATCTTAAATTCATTTGTAATATATCTTTTTATGTTTTCGATTATTTTAACAAAGATTAAAAAGTGTTTCAATAATGAATACTAATTTTTACATTTTCATCTCCTTGGATAATTTTTAAAAAGACATATAATGAGACCATTTAATTATTGTACAAGGTGATCACAATTAATCTTGACCATTGAATGTGAAATTGGATGACTGCATTTATTTCATTTACTAAGTTCAAAGTAAAAAAAAAAATTCTCAAACTTTATGAGATACCCAAACTACCATATTTCACATTGGCCTCACTACCTACCTCAGTGCAATAAAGGTAAATGATCTCATTAGATATTTCGTGATTAACAAGATATTTCTTATTGTTTTTTAGATTAAATTTTTGTATTTTTAAATATTTTTTTGTTTGGCCGAGTCCGATGGCCAACTTATAGTTTTTTCATTGACAAAATATACTATTTTCGAAATTAAACTTTTTCGTGGCCGATATGATCAATTGCAAAGTTTTTCAAAACCAGAGTAGCCATTTCGAGAAATGATTGTAAGATTATTCTACATCAAAATAACCATTTCGGTTGATTTTAAGATGCCCGCTCTTTCTACCGTAAAATATTTTGACACATGAACCTTCCCATAAAAACATGCTGGCAATACTTCTTTTTAGCAGTTCCAGTTAATAATACAGACGCCAAGAAGTATAATTCAAAATCATACAAGATTATACCATATACTGAGAGTGAGAGATAGAGAGAGGGAGCTAAAAAATAAATCAATTCCATTTGTTATTGAGAGAGACAGAGAGAGAGCAAAAGAAAAATCAATTCCATTTCTTATTGAATCAAATTCCATTATCAAAGGAGAGATACGTCGAGAAGCATAATTCCATTTCCCCAAACCTACCAAAAGATTATGAATGTTAACACTGGTACTCTCAAGTGCACAGGCTGCAACTCCTTCATTAAAAGAGCCCATCACACATCACCCTAGAGAGAGAGAGAGCTCGATCAAACCAAAGACCCACTCATCATCTCTTTAAATTCATCGAAGCTCACCTCTCCATCCCCATTTCGATCGACGCCTTTGATCATTCCCTGACACTCTGCAATGCTCGCTTTCTCTCCCAACCCCACGAGAACATCGTGCAATTCATCAGCTGAAATGAACCCATTTCGGTCTTTATCGAATACCATAAAAGCATTCCTCAAATCCTCCATTTTCTCACCGGGATCACTCTGTAGATTCACAGTCAAGAACTCCTCAAAGCTTATGAATCCATCTCCATCTATATCCGCGGATTGAATCATGGTTTGGACCTCCTGTTCTGAGCCCTCAAACCCTAGAGATCGAACCATAGCCTCAAGCTCGGATGCAGAGATCTGGTTATCACCATTTCTGTCGAATTTGTTGAAGACTTGGCGTAGTTCTTCGGTGAGCTTTGTCGATGACGAAGAAGAATGTTGAGGAGATGAAGTGGACGGAAGACTTGAGGATTCAGAGCCTGCACTTAACGAAGAATCAGGCAAACTTGAATCTGAACTCTTCTTCTTTGATCGCCTGATCTTGGGCAGGTTGAAGCAGTTCTTCCCCATTCTTCAATCAATAATTCAGAGGATTATTGATTCAGAGGATTGATTTGAGCTTTGATTAATGGAGCACAGGCCAATCAAACGTAATGGAGTTCGTACTTAGATGCAGAAGCTGTTGAATTAGGGCAATCTAAAGCGAATTAGTGTTTGCAAGTAAATTTACGTAGGACAGAAGAATCAAGACACCTCAAGCAAGGGTTTCTGAGTGTCTAAGCCAGAATCACGTATGAAGGTAAACCACAGAGATCAGAAAGATCAGGAGACCCAAATTAGGGTTTCTGTGTACTTACAGAGATCACAAGAAACTAGAAATAGGGTTAAGAATTGATCTCACCGAGACAGGAAGAATCAGATATTCAGACCAGAAGAAACCACTTTCAGTGCCAAAGAATTTCAGGGTACTCGATCTAGGTTTTTGCCAATCGATCACAGAGGCCAAGAAAAACCAGGAACTTCGATTTAGGGTTTGGAGAAGCAATCACCAGAAGAATCCGGAACAGTGGGAAATCAGGGTTCCCAATTTTTACAATCAACCAAAAAATCGAGAAGAATGGAAATCAAAACTAGGGTTTCACAATCACCAGAAGAATCGAGAACAACGAAAATTAGAGTTTTTCAAAGAAATCTAGCTCCAGGCTTCCCTGTGCACATACAGAAGCGAGTGGGAGATAACACTGATACTGAGCTCTAGGGTTTATATAGGCAATCTGTGCCGGACACGTGTCAAAGATTTGTGGCTTTGGCGGTTCAGATCGCGCCGCTGGTAATGGAGATTCTCTTGATATGTATGACACGTGTCCACCACAGACCGTGTTGTACGCGGGGTATGATTTGATTCGACAGCTCGTAGTGCTAACCATCGACACGTGTCTGTGACAGCAAATACGAACATACACGTAGCGTGTGTACGACATGATAGGGCTTTCAACCGTTTGTTGTCGCCATCGGACGGTAGGGATCAGTGGATATTTATTGTACGAAACGCGGCCCCGGAATCAAGATCTACATCGATCGTGGGAATCTAGATTCTCTAAAAAATCTTTAACTTTGGAGGATGGATGAAATGCGGTCGTTCATGTGGTGATGATATGGCCGTTGGTCCAAATTTTTTTTTAAAATAATATTATTTTTAATATTTAAAGGAAACGATCATGTGTATTATTTGAGTGTTTGTGATCATTTTAATTATGGGAAAGGTTTAAATAGAGCCTACGCTTTAAATAATCAAATTTGAGCCTATCTCAAAAAGTTTATTAAAAAAGGTTGTTTTGATGCTCAAATATCTTCAAATTGATCATCTTGACATCATGTACAGACATAAAAAAAATATGGAGTTCAAGTTTTAAAAATAGTGTATTTTGTATTGCATTTTTAGATTGTCAATTTTTAAGATTTTCAAGTTTTCATACATATGTTGGTCAACCCTATTTTTAAAGCTTTGAACTTTATACATAACTATAAAAATGTATTTTAAGGCAATCACAAAGATTTTCAATAGTAAAACCATATTTCTCGATACTATTTGGAGGTGGGCTCTAATTTGATTGTTTAGAGCCTAGGCTCTATACAAACCGCACCCATTTAATTATGAGAAACTAGCACTGTTTAACTTGGACAACACATCAAAAACTTTGAAGTATTTTTCTTTGGGTGCAGTTTCTATAAGGTTGCAACCTTAAACAATCCAATCTGCACGCCTCCAAATTTTATAATAATGTGCAATTTTGGTGTAAAAACTCTTTAGGATTATCTGAAAATCTATTTTTATAATTAATTATAAAATTTTAAACTAAAAAAATTTAAAATCAAGTAGATCTATAAATATATGAAAATCTTGAAAATAGATGGTCTAGATAATGTGTTGCAAGATGCGCTATTTCTGGGACTCAAAATCTTGTTTGTTTTTTTTTTTTTTCAGATTCATACATCTCGATGTCGAGATGATCAATTAGAGGGTTTTCAACATTAAAACAACATTTTTCGATGCATTTTTTGAGGTACATATGTAATTCTATGGTTGCAACCTTATATAAACTTTTTCCTTTTTCTTTTGGGTGTGGTTTCTATAAGGTTGCAACCTTAAACTTAAACAATTCAAGTGAGGTGCACCTCCAAATTTTATCATAATATGTAATTTCCATGTAAAAAATTGGAAAAATTGCATAAAACCCCAAAAAAATAGACTTTCTAAGCAATTTACCCCAACCTAACTTTTTCTAATAACTTTTTCCCCAAAACCATTTTTCTTAGCAAATACCCCCAACTCAAACCTCACACATTGACGATAGCGGTACGACACTTCACCAACGCGGTCCGGCGGTTGGAAGAGGCGGTCTGGCGCTTAAGCCATTGATTTGAAACCGTCCGGCACTTCACCATAGTAGTCCGGCACTTCACCATAGCGGTCCGACACTTCATCATGACGGTTCGGACTTTGGAAGAGGCGGTTCAGCATTTTTTCTAGATTAATGAGCAGTCCGGTAAAATTGAAAATTGTCTGGAATATGCGGCCTGCCAGTGTACAGTTCTGGTCCCCCAGAATGGATGGTTTTAATAATATACAACCACGGTCCGACGTTTCTTTGTATTAGGATATGAAAATGATTTGTTATGTATGAGAAGGGTATTTTCATAAAAAAAAAATGAACTTTTTGTATTGGGGGTATTTGCTATAAAACTTGATTTTTGGGAAACATATGCTAAGAAAAATTAGGGTAGGGGTAACGTGCCTATAAAGTTTATTTTTGAGGGTTTTATGCAATTTTCCCTTAAAAAAATTCTTAGGTTATCTCAAAATCTAGTTTCGTATCTAATTATAAAATTTCAAACTTTAAAAATGGTTAAAATCAAACACATCTATAAACATATGAAAATCTTGAAAATGGACAGTCTAGATAATGTGTTGCAACATGCACTAATTCTTGGACTCAAAATATTAATTATTTTTTCATATTCATCCATCTCGATGGTGAAATGATCAATTACAAAGTTTTTCAACCTTAAAACAACCTTTTTTAATAGATTTTTAAGGCGCATCTTTAAATCTAAAATTTAAAATTACAACCTTATATAATATTTTTTATTTTCTTTTCAACATTTTTGCCTTTCATCTCCCATGGCCATTCACACCTTCCGTTCTCTCTCTCCCTCCATTTTCTCTCTCTAACTTGTCTTTTTACCTCTCTAATACGTAATCTCCATCTCTACAAAAACCCTTGGGACATCCAGCTCGCCATCTCCCATAGTTCAGGATCTCTTTGAAGTTACAATAGAGCTTTAATGGCATCTCACTAGACAACTGCTGCATTTGATTGTGATTGTTTTGGGATCTCAAAAGATCAATGGACCAAGGGTTGATCGGTTTTCAGGATTTATTTTGGGCTTGAGAGAAAGAGACAGAAAGAATGAGTTAAGTCCCTAAAGAAAACCCTATCTTCTGCATACAAATGTCATTTGGATCAAAAGAGAGATATCGGGAGACGATGAATTGGGGAGAAGATTACACCAAAAATATAACCCCAATCATTTAGTTAGCTCTCTTAAAAAAACCAAGCTTCCAAAAAAAGTGATAGGGACGAATAACTCCATCGTGGGATTCATGCATCTTTCCACCCCAAAAGCTATCAATAAAGAGAATAGATTGCATGATTCACTCCAATAATAGAAGACAATAGAGAGCCAGGGCGGAGAGGAATATTTTTATAACAAAAAGAGAGAAAGAAGGTACAAGAATAAAAAAAAAATAGACACCAAAATCAGAATGGCATGAAATGAAATTTAAACTGATAAAAAAAAATGCTCATACCCTTGCTGGAGAGAAAGGAGGGATGATTTGGTAATGGATCGAAGAACTTAAAGATTTGAGGGGGATGGGAGCATTCTTTTAGGTGGTGGTGGTACATAGGTGCGGAGAGAGAAAGAGAGAAGGAGGGTGAAAAGGTATTTCTTAAACGAAAGAGTTTATATAAGGTTGCAACCTTAACGTGTAGAACTACTGATGCACCTCAAAAATCCATTAGAAAAGGTAGTTTTAATGTTGACTTTGATTGATCATCTCGACATCGAGATGTATGACCATGAAAAATAAAAAGATTTTACGTCTCAGAAATAATGCATTTTACAACATATTATCTACACCATCCATTTTCAAGATTTTCATATGTTTATAGATCTACTTGATTTTAACCATCTTTTAAATTTAAAATTTTATAATTAGATATAAAAATAGATTTTGAGATAATCGTAAGAATATTTTACATCAAAATTATATACCATGATAAAATTTGAAAGTGCATCTTACCTCGACAGCTACGGATGCATCTGTATGCCAACTGCACCCTTTCTTAAAAGAAGGGTCGGTGCGAAGAGAGAAAGAGAGGAGGTGGGTAAAAAAGTATTTCTTAAAAGAAGGTGATCATTCCCCATATTTAAACAGAAATGATCCAATGCAACGGTTATCTAGTAGTATAATGCAACCACGCATCTAGAAAACCATGTATTTGCCATTTGTATGATCCCAAAATTTGCACACACATTCTCTTCATCCTAATAATCAATCATATGAAAAAAAAATTCAATTTACACCCTAGATATGGTCAAAATTAGTAGCCTCCAACAATGAATCTCGACCGTCCATTTGGTGAACTTCAAGATCTAGGCCTTAACAAATTCAAAATTACTTTTTTCTTTTTTAGCATTGTTAATCTAATGATGATAATGCTATATAAAAACTTTGGGAATAAAAAAAATGTTTTTGAGGCCTATATCTAACCATCTCAATGAAATGGGCGACTTATATTAATTGGGTGAAAAAGACATTCCTCTGAGCATACCTAAGAATACCGCCAAAGCCTGCTCTCAGAGTCTCTGGTCGAACACTACCATCAAAATTCAACTTGAGCTAGCCCTCAAGGGGGGGTATCCACTGCGTTGATTTTACAATTTTCTTTGATTGAACCAGGAGGAGATCAACAAAGTTGGTGGAAAAAAAATTCTTTGGGATAATTTTACAATTTAAAAGACGATTGGGCCCACTAAACCGCCAACCTCATGACCCTTCGAGAGATATCTAGGGGATCGAGAGAGATCCCCTCAAAGATTTTGGAATTCATTCCTTTTCAAAGGGACCAAAGCACAACAACAATAATAATTCGCCAAAGGTGAATTCCAATCTTAGAAAACAGGGGCTGAAGATAAAGGCAAAAAATTGGTGAATATTCTCAAGCATCACCCATTGTCACTTAGAGATACTAGAAATCCAATTCCATAATAAACCGACAAAGGGGCAGTGGATGAAGAGATGATTGTTATTTTCTGCATCTTGTTAGCATATGATACAAGCATTTACTAAGATTTTCCTCCTCTTTCTTAGTTGCTCCCCAATCATAACTCTGTCTTGTTCCAAAAGCCAAAGGTGCTTTAACTACCAAAACTTTAATGTTCCAATTGCTCATCTTGATTACTCTATTATAACTAATTTGCTGGTACAACGATTTTACAACAAAGGAGCTGCTAAGAGTGAGTTCTTGGATTATGAAATCCTATATGCCTGGGAAGTATACAAATGAGTGGAGCTGCTGCAGTAGGAACAAAAGTGTTTAGTGACTGTGTCTATCTGTCTCACCCTTAGTTCAACATTTCAAGTACAATTAAATAT